ACGGCGCGGCCCGTGCGGGAAGGCTGCCGGACTGCGGGACACAAACAGCCCCTCCCAACACCCCGCCGAGCAGCCGGGCTCTGCGCCGCCCTGTGCGCGACAGCAGCGATAATTTTAGAGATAATTATTCCGCGGTTTTAGTACTGTGGCAGAAAGGGGTGGTTTGTGCCTGTTGGGAGTGAACCGACCCTGCCTCTCCCGGTATGTTTTTGGCACGATGGTTATACTTTTTTGCCACTAACTTACAAAGTCAGTGCCCTTCTGTGCAAAGCCTGTTCTCGTCTTGCTGCATGCAAAGGCACACAGCCCTGTGGAGGAACAAGCTAGAGAAAAAGTGTAGTTTTTATCATGAAGCCCTCAATTTTAATTTAAGTAGTACTTCAAAAAATGTAAGGTACAGGTTGATGAAAAGCACCTATTTGGAGAATAGTATCAGGGCATGCTCTGAATACTGAGGGGATACTGCACACTTACCTGTTCTTTCAGGACTGAACGGCTCTGCCCCTTTGCAACCTAGTTTAAGAAGCAGTTTTTCTTATTGAGTCTACTCTCTTCTGTCAAAGCGCAGCTGAAATCAGGGATATTGCCATTTGTGACAGTGTTTCTTGTTCACCTTCCATGATATCCAGATTATTTGCATGAAGGGGTGATGCCTTATGAGTTCCTTAACCTGGAAGTGAGTTTGCATCAGAGCCAGATCTGCTTTGATAATTTTGCCTATAACGTTAAAGGCAAAGAGATCACAGCAAAGATTTTGAAAAATACCTATTGAAAACCTTCCACTGCTTTAGCTGCACTTTGGAGCCAGCTTTGTGAGCAGCGAACTGCCTCCATGGCCAGGCCAATGCCCCACTGCCCACGAGTGGGCACCGATGGGGACCACCACCACCCCCAAAGCGGTGAGGCAGCAGCCCATGCAGCCACACTGAGAGACTGAACTTGTGTCAAAAGCCTGCTGAAGGAAGGGAAATAACCAGAGGTGACATTTGACAAGTTAGTTTTTTATTCAGTGCATTGGACTCGTACATCACCACTTTGTCAATGAACATTTCCACATTCCTATAAAACCAACGCTGAGCCCAGTCTCTTGTTAAAAGACACTCAGTGTAAAATGTAAAGCAGTCTATCAAGTATTTACTCTAATAAGTATAGCTGAGAGCCCAGTAACAGGCTGTGTCCAGTGCATTCAGTGTTGGGTTGCAGCAGTGGTTGGAGAATGGACTCACGGTTGGTGCAAGGCTTCATTACCAAATGACTAGACCCAGCTCACTAACATCTTAGCCAATGTTTATTGGACTGCTGTAGAGCCTGGCCTCCCTCCTGCAGCTGCTAGTTCAATTATGCCAGTGATTTGAGCATGGGTGGAGCTGCACCTACAAGACGCCTAATGCCGAACTACTGCAGCACTGGAACACCTGATTTGGGCTGGGGCAGCCTGTCCGTGCTCTGTGCCGAGGACAGTCACTCTGCACGCCAACACAGCACGGCACGTCTCACCCTGTCCCTGCAACCAGGCCGGCAGCAGCAGTCAGAACAGCACGGCAAACGAAAGAGAAATGCAAGGTTGTCAGGCCTGACTATCAGGGCAGTGCGGGACATTTTCAGGATGGAGGAGTCTTACACCGCAAACCTCTGGACAGGGATGCCTGCACACGCAACAAATCAGTCAGGTAGCTGGATGCTGGGGAATGTGGGCAGCTGGAGCATCCCTGCTGGTGTCATGGCAGGGATATGTCCGTCAGCCTTGCACACGCTTCACTTCCCACTGTCTCCCATGCGGGTAGCCACAGTGTCCTCAGCCTTGTCCCACCAATGCAAGGAAGGCTCCACAGGTGTGGTTTGGAGCTGGTCCCCCTTCCCTCTTGCAAGAGCCACCTCAAGCAGTGCCCTGGCAGGAGCACAGGGCTGGTGCCAGCCCCACGGCTCCCTGGAAGAGTGCTCCTGGCAAATCCATCCCTGCTCATCCCACTCCATTAGCCCACTCATGTCCCACCTGCCCTCTGCTCTGGCCTTGACCCTTGTCCTGCCTCATCCCTGCCCTCAATTGCTCATTCATTCTGCAGGTAAGGGAGGAGACAGCACATCACCAAATTAGCTATCTCAGAGGAAATCTATTGAGTTTTATTGAGCTGCCCCCTACGGGGCATGGACTGTTATGGGCAGTCCCTGTGACTGATGAGCATGCGGTGCTAAGGCATGGTGACCGTCCGACCGGCACTCCTGGCTGCTGTAAAGCGCCTCTTATTCCTCAGACCAGAGAACCTCTCATCCAGCGTCAGGCTGGTCTGCAGGGGAAAGGGAGAGCAAGTCAGTCCTGTGTCTTGTGGCAAAGCACAGCCAAACTTGTAGCGGGGTACTGATTAGAGCCCATCAGTCAGGACGGTGCTTCACAGCCAGTTAGTCAATTAAACCACTCAGCACATGGAGATAAGGAGCTCAACAAGAGTGTGTGCAGCTGGAAAACCTCCAAGCAACAACCAGCCTCAAGACATCAGGCATCCTCGGCAAGGACAGGAGCAAGCAGATGGCATTTGAGCACAAGGTATCAAGTAAAACCAAACCATCCAGACAAGAAACACTGGCAACGAAGAACATGGAGCAGGATTTCTGAACTTCCCCAGGGCTCTTGGACCATACTTCAGCATAAAACGTGGCACCAAGGTCACCAAAGCAAAGAGAGAGCAAAGCCCAGAAGTACTGTGTGTCTCTGAGAAGTGGGGAGCACTGACAGTGAAACAGTCCCCCCGGCCAGGACCGCTCTCAAGTAGCATCTCCCTGCTCTGAGCAAGCACATGGACAGGCCAAGAGGGGCCAAAAGAGTAGGGAAAACTGGGCTGAGTCTGTAGATGCTCAACAGTCTTCTCAGGTGCCTTCAGCTTTGTGAGCAAACTAGCCAACATGGCTACAGAACTTTCCTCCTGGGTTATGCTAGACAAACCAAGCTGGCAGCCCCTAAAACCTGAGCGTGATGTTAACAGCTTAGCGGCACGTCTGCTGCAGGATGCAAGGTGCCACCTGTCCCGTCGACAATCCTCTACCTGGTTGGCCATCGCGCGGAAATTGAATCTCAGGAGCACTCCCTTGGGCTGGGGCTTGGCCACCCGTGGCAAGGGCCTCTGGCTTCGCAGGAACGGCCGCTTGGATCCAGGCCTGGGGAAAGCACAGATCTGCAGTCACTCAGGATGCTAAGGCAGCTTCCTTCCTATCATCTGCAAACCAGCAAGGAAGAACGGATACATCCACATGCCCCAGACATCCCACAGCGTGTCTCACGGCAGCCTGGGTCAGTCTAAAACGTGCCAGGAGAGCTGCCATGCAGGCAGAGTTCCAGCAGTGGAACGACTGTCGTGTCAGGGCTGTCATGGGTCTCTCTCTGTACCCAGGACATGACAAGGCCCCTCACCCACCCTTCTTTCTGCTCCTAGCTGGCTGCCAGGTCCTGCAGCTGCACTGGCTCACCCCAGGGGAAGGGCTTCCCCCTTCTAGCCTATGCACTCCTCTTACACAGCAAGGATTCGGAGTCCCTTCGGGGCATGCAGCATTTGCCCCGTGACTCTCCAGAGAGAGCACAACCAGCCTGCCACCTCCCACACACTGCAATGCTTCCATTTCTCCTTACTCTACATAAAAAGTGAGCCACAGGGTAATTACCATCTCCTTTCAGATACACTGTTAAGTGAACGAGACATCATTTGATAACCATTTGGGGTCTGAACCATTCATTGCACACTTGTTATAGAAGAAGCAAAGCTGCAATAATGCTAAAGGGATTTGCAATGGCTTTTGTAGAGCTCCCATCCTAACAAATCACCTCATTTACTTACACGCCAGTCTGGCCTGCCTGGGGATTAGCCACAGAAACTGTCAGAACTGCTCCAGGGCTGGGTTTCACTTGCCACCTGCCAAGACAGGGAGATGCATCCAGCTTTGACTTGAGCGTGAAAGAGCACATCACGTTTGCTGCATGCCTTTGTTCACCAATTACCTTCTCATCCTTGGTGGTTTCCCTTCTCCATTACGATCCATCTGCTGTGAAACACATTTTAAAAAAAATTACTTAAAGAATTAGCTTTCAGAAACAATTATCACTTTTCCAGTATTTCATCTGGTGTATCTGAATAGCTTTCTTTGCCTGTTGTCAAGAAATTTGCTAATTTGGGGTTTCCTACTGTGATCTGTACAGTGTGGCTTTATTTTGCCTTGTTCGTGCTGCTGTACAAGCTGCAAGGCTTACTTTTATCACCTGCCCAGGTATAATTTTCCAGTTTCCAGAATGTTAAGCTGCATCAAAAATTGCCTGTCCTACAAATACTTTCCTAGGAACATACTCTTTGCTAAAGTCATCCATCTCTCCCAGTTACTTTTGAAAGCAAAGAAACAACTGGGCAAAAGCTGGCACAACTGAAGCCTTGTCACCATCAGCAGGTTGCAGAAAAAATGTCTCAATACTGACCCCTCTCTGGAAGTTGGCTTTGGAGAAACGCTGCTGCATCCGCTTCTGCTGGAAGGCTGGTCCCCTGTTTAGCAAGAAAGGCCTGCTGGTAAAGGGGGAGGGAGAAAAGCACACAGGTGAATGTGATGCCAAGTCTCTCCTAAAGTTTAATGCTGCAGTATCTAACCCAGCGTGGTATTAACAAGCAGTATGAGAAGCAAATGAGGCTGTGTGTTACCAAGTTCAGCCCAACAGGTTTTTCTGCCAGCAAAGCATCTCAGAGGAACTCAGTTTTCTCCCCAAAGAAAACAACAGCTTGTGTTTGTTCTGAACTCTACTCATTAAAAAAAAAAGGAAAAAAAACCAGAAGAAAATTGTAGAAAAAAATATGATCAGAAAGGACCTCTAGAGATCATTCAGTCCCTGCTCTGCTCAGAGCAGAGACAGACGGGATTGCAGTGGAGCTTCCTTCCAAGCTCGGAGAACACAAAGACCACAGTGAGACAGGCATCGAGACTGTCCCTGGCAGCCTGCTTTCGTCACAGCTCCTGGGGCGCAGCGTCTGCTCCTGCTGCCCCTCAATGGTACAGACTCCCTCTCCCTGCCTACCCCTTACGGCTGGAATCTGTATTTCCTGCTTTTATAAAAATAAATGCTACTTCACCCTCCAGAAGTTTTCCCCAAAGTGACAGAGGAAAATTTAAAAAAAATTGCACATATCACATGTTCTGTGCTTTCTGAAATAAAATGACAGATCTAATACCTGAACTACTATCAGCACAAGGCTGTTTTATTTCCAGGTGCTTTCCTAACACCCAGAGTTATTTTTCCGACGTTGCATGAGCACATAGCTCTAGCCGCTCACAGCTGACATGGACCAAGAGCAGAGCCCCAGGACCTGCACAAGGAATTGCTGAAAACCAAAAAAAGCCCGGAGTTACCAAAGATTTTACCTTCTCCCTGAGGGGTGGGTGCTGGCAGCAGCTGCTCTGAATCTCTTGGGGCCTGGGGGTGGCCGTTGCCGTCCCTCTGGCTGCCCACTACTGCTTTTGGTGAAGGCATCATTGTTCTTGTTGCCCTGAAAGAGCGGCGAGAGCTCAGTGGTTGCCACCTGTGTCATAATCTTGGTGCAGGAAGGGGTAGCAAGCATGAGTGGTAGCATGTGACTGTCCTTTTCTCTGCCAGCTGTCACTGCCTGAAAAGCCAGTGCATTTATCTGGCATTTTCTTTGGCTCTGTCGAGGGGAAAATCCAGCCCACTCCAAAGTGCAGGCGGCAATGGCTGAAACTGCAGCAGTTGCCTCACTGCTCTTGGATGTGTTCAGTGCCACTTGGATGTGTTTAGTGCCACTTCCAAAGGGGCTCAGTCCCGCATTCTGTGCTCTGCACTCCTGTATTCTCATTCCCAACTGTTTTTCATTGGCAACTTCTGCAGTCCTGCAACTGAACAACCCTGCTCTGCAACTGTCTCTTTTGATATTTTCTTGACGGGAAGCTGATTCCTTACTAAATCTATTAAAGGCTGGTCTCTTCCATCATCTTTTGAATCTACACCAGGAATATTTCCACCAAGGAGTGTTGCTGTAGTCTCACCACTTGGACCTGGTATACACTGTTGTCAACAATCAGTATGTGTGCCTCAGTTCCTGGGCATGAAACTACAAGTACCAGGAAGAATGTTTCATTCTAATGGTGCAGAAATATAAAAAAAAATTAGTCCACGAAGCGCAAATCTAACACAAGCCAAGCATTATAGCTTTGCTCAGGTCTCTCTTCAGTCACTGACTCTTCCTTGTGTTGCCTGGTTCAAGCCCTGAAGCATGAAGTACATCAGAAAACCCTGCAGCGTGTAGGTCCTCCCGCAGTTACTTATATAAACTGCCACAGACTTTATCCCGTTTATTTCTGTGGGACAACCACCACCACTGTTACTACCCACTAACTGAGATGTGTTTCCACATTCTTCCCACTTGGTTTATTTCTGCAAAATGGAAGCTACTGTAGAATTATGGCTCCTAGCAACAGCTTATTAATTTCTGTTAATACCCAGCCACACTCAATATCTGAGTCATCACAGTCTTTATTTTCAGAAATAACCACACTCCATGCACATGCATGTTCAGTTTAGGGTTCTCTTATTCACACCCCCAGGACACAGCCATTAAATGTGCCATCATGTTCACCACTTTGGCGGTTTTTTAAAATCTCATTGAGCACATGAGACCTCCTAATTGAGTCTATTCCCATTAGTGTGGAAAAAATGAACCCCTTCTCACAGAGAACCATCTACCTGTTTCATTTACACTTTCTACACTAGACAGTTTAGTATTAGTGACACTCAGAAGAAAACTGTAAGAATTACTTTAATGGTGAGCATATACCTTCATTTCCATCTCTTGAGTCTTAAAAATAACTCAAAAACCAAATGAAAACATATTAATTTTTTAATTGCTTTTGAGTAGAGACAAGACTTAAACATTGAAACTTGAAATATGCATTTTACACTGAAGCACGTAGGCAATCTGGCCCATAGGTGTGATGATACTGGGCGTCAGTGTCTCTGAGTGGGATACTCACTTGCTAGTGAAAAGTATGTCTCTAAACCAAAGCCACCTGAAGTCAACAACACTCTGCCCTTTGACTTCACTGGACATTGGAAAATGCTCTGGGAGGAGGACAAATAATGGTGAATCTTACCAAACCTCCTCTAAATGACAATAGTCAGGTGAGATGACATGGAATTTGATTTTATGGAAATATTTTTAAATCTTTTAAGAACACATTTTAAAAAAAATCTTGGGACCTGATTCAGTGAAATTATACCAAGTCGTAAGCTTATAAAACCAACCAGAAAACTTTAACGTGTGTCTGTACTCACCTATGCACACAAATGTAGTGCACAGGCATACACAAGATATAAATTTTTTATGCAGCTTGTTCTTTGAGGTGATCCAGGATCACAAAATCCAGCAGATTTCTACATGATATTTGGGAATAGCTGTACCTTCCTTAGCCCCCTACCTCCTGAGCCAATGCCTGGCGATTTAAAGGGCTCACTCCATTTAACGTGGCAGCTGCTCTTCTCCTGGGACCGGGCACAGTATTCTTGAATTGTCTCCGATTGTATTGTTGTTGTCCAAACCCTCTTCTAAAACGGTTAGGTCCTACAATAGTAAACTCATATTTTAGCATCCTTCAAAACCCAATTTATGATTACAGTTTTGAGAATGTATTATAAGGTTAACTTAATGTGATATAAGTACCTATATAAATAGTGATGCAAGAATCACATTAATGTATTCCAGAAAAGTAAATTTTAAATTTTGCAGAATAGTAAATAACTTATCTTTCCAATGTCTCACTAATATTCTTATTATACGTAGGACTGACAAACACATTATTCGATTTGAAATAATACAGAAGAGAAAAGCCTTCCACAATTCTGACTCCTAATAAAAGCAGGAACGCTCACATCAGGAAACCTGTCAATCTGTTGTCAGTGCTCACATTGCTACGCATTAACTGTGAAACAGAAAAAGCCTTCTGATACAGATAAGCAACTGACTTGAGCATCC